AGCAAAAATCCACGAAAATGGAGGGAAAAAAACAATTGAGGCTGCAAAATACCTGTAATATGAAGGTTTTAATTATTTGCTGGATACAGTATATTACTCAAGCAAAACTAAGAGTACAGAAACAGTAGCACTTTATTTTATAGGTAATAAATGGGTAATAATATGGTAATATAATGTAATAAATTAACAGTGATTGTAGAACAAGTAGGTAATAAAATGGTAAAATAATAAGTTGTACTAACTTAACAATTACATGCTAATTTTCCAGTTAATACATAAAGATAAACAGGTATAAAGATACATTTGGTGTATTTTGAGCCTTTTGTCAGATCTGTGCTTCATAACAGAGTAACAGTATTTTGTTCACAGGCAATACAAAAGGAACATGTGATGCATTTTCCAGCCCTGATTCTGTGTAAACTGAGTATATTCACCTCATCTGTTCCTGGGTAACAACACTAAGGGTCTAAGGGTCGGCCTGCACATAATGCAGTAATTTAGCCATATTTTAAGTGCAGTTCACCCACATTATTCTGAAGAACTGATATTTTCACCTGATATGATGTTCTTACTGAGAAAAGTAGATGAAAAGAAGCAATTTTGCTTTTTACAGCTCCAGAATCGTTTAGCTGTACTGTAATTACAGCCAGGAACTGTGTCTGTACATCGCACCTGTGGCTGACCATTTAAAGACCTAGCAGGTAAGAAATAAAGCAGAAACATTTTACAGCACTAAGACCAGATCATTTAGCCACTAATATTATAAAATAAAAATATTAATACTACAAAATAATATTATAAAACCCTATAGTGATTCAAATAATGATTTAAAAAATTTGGTGTGAATATGAAAGGTATAAAAAAAAAGTCCAGAAAGGCCATGAGCTGTTGCTGCAATTTTCTGGGTTGTTATCTTGAGATAACGAGTTAATTATCTTGTGATAATTACAAGATCATTAACTTATCTCACTATTACAACTTTGTTACCTTGAGATCACAAGATAATTAACTTTTCTCTCAAGATATCGACTTCTGTTATCTTGAGAAAACTAGCTTGTTATTTCAATAAAACAACTTTGTCCCTGCCTCATGGCCTCTCTGGACTTCCATAAATTGTTTAATATTATGCATTTGTACTGTAATAATTACTAATTAATTACGAATTGGAAGAATAATGTTTTATTTACAGGTAATTAGAGTTTGTCAACCTTATGTTTCTGTTGTATTTCTTGATACCGCTTAAGCTAAATAGTGCTGGAGCTGTAAAAAGCAAAATGACTTCTTTTCATCTACTTTTCTCAGTTAGTGCATCACATCCAGTGATAGCATCAGTTCTTCAGAATAATGTGGATGAACTGCACTTAAATTATGGCTGAATTACTGCATTATATGCAGGCCACCTTAGACCTTAGTAGGTACCCAGGAACAGTTGGGGTAAATATACTGCGTTTACACAGAATCAGGGCTGGAACAAATTAAACTAAACTAAAAATTACATTTAAATTAAACTAAAAAGTGATAATTTTTAGGCTAGTACAACTTACTACCATATTTTTGCCATTTTACTGCTGTTATAATTTCTAACAAAAGTTACTAAAGGTTACTAGAACTGATTAGCAAAACATTTCCATCTTACTGATCTGTGAACAATAGTGTGAAATAAAGTGCTACTAAAATGACACTAGCAGTCAAAAAGAATTGTCCACATGAATGTATGTCAGTCATTGATGTTTATTAGCTGCTGTTGATGTGTTTATTCTGTCTGTCCACATCAGGGATAAGAACCCAAAACAAATGACGGACATTTCAACATGACACTGCGGGATGCCACAAAGCTATATCCCTTGGGGGCTACATTGGGAAATGTGTGGAGAGGAAAAATTCAACCTCTATGGATGATCTGTGGACTGCAGTGATGAAAGTGTGAGAGGCAGTTAAATTGCTTTCAAAACTTTAGGAAAGCTTGTCGAAGCAGTGTGAAGTTGTCTTCAAGTCTAGAGTAGCTACAAAATGCTGCTGAACTCTATAACTTGTAGGTGTTTATTTTCTATTTTGCCATTTTTGTGCTACAGTGATCAACAGATGAGAAGAGCTGGGCGATATGAACTGATATGGTATTTTCTACTATTTGGATGAATGATCAGTCTTCATGGCCCAGTCGACTTTGAGGGCATGATATCAAAAAAATAAAAAAGTGAACTAATTTATTATAGTAACCATAATAATAACAAAACAGTGCAACTATAATAAAGATAATTATTATTACTAGTACCATTATGGTTGCTATTATTATTATTATAGCAATTTTTAAGCCCTTCCAAGTTAAAAATAATACAAGGCTCATTACTGAACCTTTAAAAACAGTATAAACACTGCGAGAGTTTGCAGTTTCTTTACTGTGAATACTACCGCATGCTCTTGATTCTTAGTTCCCTTGACTTGTATGGAAGCAGTTTTAGTTTTTCTCTCCTGTAGCCTCCACCTTTTTGCTGTATCTAACAGAGGCAACACGCTATTCCAGGATTGCTACGTTAAGTTTATCACAATAGGTTTAGCCTGTTGGATGGCTTTTAAGAGCTGACTCCATCTTTTTCGCCACACTTTACAGTTATATCTGTGTTCTACAGCAGACTGAACCAAAAGGGTAAAAACTGGTCTAAACACCACGTGAAATGGAAAATGGAATGTCTTCGTGATGCTTCATGCACGTGTCACTCTCCCAATGCACGGCCACGTAAACACTATACTGAGTAACATATAGGCTTATACAAGCGGCACTCAGCAGTACAGTTTTCTTTGAAACACCCTTTTGTTGAGTTTCTAAGAGACAAGCTGCTCATGCTCATGTTTATGTTTAGTTTCTCTCGGCTGGCGCTGTTTGTGGTTCACTGTCTTTGGGATCATCACGGTATCCACATTATGGCAAAATTTATGACAGAACATCACACTAGAATTTTCTACCTCCCACCGCCACGGTTGAGCCGTTCTTTTCAGTGTTGTGTTGATCAGCTGGTGTTGCAGATAAACTTTTTTTTTTTTAATGATTTAAAGGAACTGCTTCCCACACATTCTTCACTGCTGTCCACAGAACCATCCATAGTGGTTTTCTTCTCCACACATTTCACAATGTAGCCCCACAAGGGCTACACAAAACCCTCTCAATGGGTTTTAAATCATGCCTGAATTTCATGTAATGAGTTGTATAGCATCTTCCATTGTCTTGTTGGAATATCTGTAATTTGTTGTTCTCCTCCTTTAAGCGAACAGACAGGATAAACATAAAACATAAAAAACAGCTGCTAAACATCAGTGCATACGAGCAGGTTAGCATTTCTTTTTGACTGCCAGTGTAAGGAAAGCCAGAGGGAAACCCTGAAGTGTTTTCAGACCTTCAGAGAAGGCTTATTGATTTTGGAGGGAAAAAATAGATGTCTATAATTTTTAGCTCATTTTTATTACTCTTCATTATTTAGGCTGGGTTGAAAACTATAAAGATAAATTCTCGAAACTGTGAACAAAAAATGATCCAATCAATTTTTTTGTCTGTGGTATCTAGGTAGAAACAGCTAAGTGAGCTTGCCCATTGGTTAGGACTTCAGGAGCTGGACTGAAGGCCTAACAGGTCAGATTAACCACCAACATAAAGAGCAACTGACAGTGAAAGCAACCAATCAGGTTTTGTTTTATAAAGGCTTGAGCATGAATAAAATGTAATTCTAGGCCTTCAGGAAGTCCTAGATACATAACTGACTGAATACAAGCGATAGCCAAACCAGTGGCTTTCTGGTAAAAGGTGTTAGCTCAATGCTAAGACTCTTTTAGTCATTAAAATACATACAAAGTAAAATATGTTAATATGTCTATCACAAGCTTCAAATAAAAACATGTAATGCCTTTATAATCTTCTAATGTCTGTGTTTGATCTAGAATGGCCAAACACAGATTCATGTGCATTAGCTTAGTGCTAACATACTACTAGAAACCGCATTAGTGTGTTAGCAGATATGATCATCATTATAGAAGAGTTCTTGGACCAGCTTTTGATGTTTTTGGCCCAAATTGAAGGCCTAGCACTAACAGCCACACCCTAACTGCCACTGAGTACGGCCATTCAGCCATTCTGTACGGAGAACTTCAAGCTTCCTATAGACATACACAGATGCTTATTGCATAGCACAACATAACAGCTGGAGAACAATGAGCTGCATGAATCACACTTATTCTTAATTTTACGAGTCAGAGAGAGCAGAAGAGAGAGTGACTGCCTTCCTCTACTTGTCAGAAGCCAGTAATTCCCTTCTTAAAGCAAGCACAGCTTGGCCGTTCCTCTATTCTTCGCCATATGTATTTCTGTCATGCACATTTTCCTACTGAAATGATTCCAGCTCGTTGGAAGGTGCCGCCGTGTCTCTAGCCATTCAGTCTTGGGTAGATTGACTTCGCTAGCAGAATTCAGATGAGCTTTGCTAGGCTGGTGTGTGCGTGTGTAGCGGGCTAGCCGCTTCCCCCCACATTGGACGAGCAGTTTTCCCTCTCCGTCTCCAATGTGACACCATGGCTGTTATGGGCCGGGCAAATCGGAGGGTAGGAGTGCGTCTTCAATAACAATCCAGCCCCGAGAAGGAAGAAGAGAGTAAATAAAAGCAGAGTGGACTGAGAGAGTCCATATATCATAGCGCGTTATAGTCCAGAGCCAGGTCGCTGCACACTCTGGTCCAGCAGAGCGCGGTGACCTTTACATCATCCAGGCATTCATCAAATATTCATGACCGTGGACGCATTAGACACGCGCGCGATGGGCCGCTTCCGAAATAATCCTCTTCCATCCCCAAGGCCGCCATGCGGAGGGCATGATAAATGTCTCCCGATGTTCATTCCCAATGGTTTTAATCAAATACCTCTGCAGACTGAAATTAAAGAATGCAACCCAGCTTTCTCGTAAGGGAGAACTGCAGATTATAATGAATAATTTTACATCGGTAATAACTGCGATGAGACTCTTTCGAGACACTTTCTTTTGTTTCGCTCATAATGGGAGATAATGACAGAGAAGAATATGCTGGATGGCATTACAGAATCCAATAGGCTTAATTTGCAAACAGCATCTGAAGCGATGCCTAATTTATTGCAGCGTCTGAACACACTTATTCTAAGCTGGAGGTTTTGCTTCAGCAGATAAACACAAAGCAAGCAAAGCATCCACAGCGCTGAACCATGGGTCAAGATATACATTAAAATATCTACTTAAAATTCATGAAATTCATAGATATGAAGTTCATATGAAAGCGGTCTTGACCGCAAATATATAGGAGACATCCTTAGAAAAATACCCAGGAAAAAAATTAACAACTAAAAAAATGAAATGAAATGAATGAAAAACGTTTCTTAAAAATGCAAAAGACTGAACTTTCATCATTATCTCTTGCTACGACAAACAGTCAGTGAGTCCTCATAATCTATCGACATCCCTGAAGGTTCTTGGTCGTGTGGCGTTCCTCAAGGCTACAGTCTAGGCCCTGTTTTATAGCTGAATTTTGCCATTATCAGCAGGGACCCCGACTAGCATGTTGTTCTTCGGAGAGCAGCTTTCTGGCTCCATGGTCATCACCCGCACAGAGTACCCGTGAGTCTCTGCAGCCCAGCCGCGATCCAAGTCCACCAGGCCCATACAGCGTTTCCCTGGAGATGGAGGAAAAGATAGACATGAGGCGCTGTGCTCACATCCCTTCACCAACCCAAAACTTCTCTCAAGAGCCAGTCAGCTGCCTCCACCACAAATTATGAAGTAAACCTCTGCAGGATGCCAGGAAAAACAGCCAAATTTGCTTAATTTATGCTTTTTATATATTTCATTATTGATTTTGGCAAGGAAACAAGTAACAGCAGGTAAATGCATATTTAGTATTTTGTGCATCTGCGAGAAATTACTCATTTGCTATTGCAGTAGAGGATCAGCTCAGGTCAGCAATTTCCAAAATGTGTTACTAATTTCAAATCCTTCAAAAAAATTAAATTCAATTAGATTTCTGATTGTCAAAACAGTCCATGTGCCATTTACACAGCACCAATTGTAGTCTAATTAACTTTAGTGAGAAAACCAAACAGATGGTGTGGTATGACATACACAAATACAAAAGGGTTTAAAAAAAAGTCATTTGAATAAATCTGAAGTCATCTAATTTTCAAACAAAGGCAGTTGTCTTCCTACACAGCATTCAAGCGCTAATATGCAGCTGTGTTGTATCAGCAGCAACGCAACGCTACAGCAGTTAAGGCTAATGCAGCCGTAATCAGAGTGAAGCAAGCCTTTGACAGGCACCGGAGGGGGATCAGAGTTGCTTAGCATGTGTTTGTGAAGAGGCGGGGAGTGTGTCACTCCGGCGGGTGTAAAGGATTGGTGGTAGAAGCAGAAATGACAGGACGGTGTGATCTGAAGAAGCGTTCTTCAGCAGGATGAGGCTGCGGGGGGGAGGAGGAGGAGTGCGGCAGTATGGAGTGTGATTGAGAGCAGTCACTGAGGGGGAAGATGGGCTGAGAGGCTGAATAATGCTGCTTCACTTGGCCGCAATGGTACTTAGACGCTCCTCAATTTATAGCGGATTGAAATCCGGGTGAGCAAAACACACTGAAAACTCAATAACTCTGCAAGGTGAAAGAGTTCATTCTCATTTAAAGGTGCCCAGAAGACCATGTGGTGAAGTAATTCTCTAGAAGTTAAACCAGAGAATCCTTCCAATCAAAAGTTTTACATTATTATTAATTTACCTTTTTATTATTTCTTCCAGTTTCCATTTCCAGTTTTATCTTTACTTACTGAAAAAATACATATTTAAGTTGTTCTGCTACATATTCATTATATGACTATGTACATGCACCAACAACTACATACAGTACTGTGCAAAAAAAACATATTATTTAAGTATTAAAGCAGTTTATTTGGACAGCAAGCATTTATTTGTTTAAAAAAAAAACAATATTAGAAAAAATACAATTCAACACATGAATTACATCGTTTATCTAATCAATCCTCTGTGTCTGGAGTTCAGAGCCAAACCTGTGTCCTTCTAAATGTATTCTTATAACCAACATATTGCTAACTGTATTATTAATATGAATTATTTATTTACATTTATGCTGTTATATAGTGTTTTTTTTCTTGAAAACACACTTTCATGGCTGCCTAAAAGCCCCTACACTAAATGCAATGCGAACAAACAACAAGAACATGTGGCACATTTATTCCACACCAAAATTATGCACACCAACACTATGCTAGAGTAGCACACTTGTGATGTCTGTAAACAGTTTGAGCTGATTTTAGAGATAACACCATCCGTGAGGAGGCAGAAGGCAAATTAATCCTTTTGAAACTTGTCAAACAGCTCTTGTTGCAGGGACACCGGCGATCCCCCAGCCTGATTGTTGCCATGCCAACGACAGAGATGACCATGATTGTTCAGAGAGTTCTTGTCGCCTAACAGAGGTTGATCACAATAATATTGCATTTTCAGCAAAATCACTTTTGCTGTGCAAGATGTCATCAGTTATACCCACATCTGAATTCTTTTATAGTTGTCTGAATAATTCACATGAAGAAATCACAGTCAGTGTGTAAAGGTCTTAACACTTCTGCACAGTACTGTAGACAACCAAGAAATTATGTCCTAACAGGTTAGGCACTTCAGATTTTTCCTGTTAGTTTCAGTGTCTAAAAATGACACGGATGAAAACATAATGAATGTTCTTTCATTCTGCAAACAAAGCTGTACTCACCACAACTTTTCATCAAACTTAAACTAGAATAAAACACTCTTCTACTCACAAACACTGATGTGGTACCCATTAAAGCTTTTTTTCCAACCATTTTTTCTGCTTGTTTCTATGAGCTATGAACAAGAAATATCTTTAAAAAATGTACAGGTTTTAAGGCGTATAAACACAGCGGGCGTAGGATGCTAACATCCTTTTGATGTAGGAAAATTCTTACTGCTGGGTTTTGGCCTGCAGACACATTCAGCTATGCACAAATACGTGATACGTAACATATTAGATCCTACTTTTTAAAGCCTCTGTCTACTCATTTTCATGATTGTCTATTATTAACAGTGTTTGTGATGTTTTTACTATGAGCTGGCAGAGAAAGAATGCTGTTGGTCTTTTCTGCTGATTTCTTCATTTTGATTCGAGTTGGGTGGGATTCAATCTGGGGCAGTTCTACCAAAACACCAATCGGAGTTAGCAATATCTGTATGTTGGCTGCTTGCGTTCCTGTCCTTCATAAAAAGTGACTGCTTTCCTGCTGCTATAGCTAGCTATAGGTTACAGATATAACATGTAGGGCTGAACCACACATATTGCTTAGGGGATGATGATCATTTTGCATTTCTTGAATATATCACTGGTAAGCACAGCTTATCAATACTATCAAAACAAAAAAATAAACAATTAAAACCATGTTGACAGAGCATTCAAATGTCTGGTAATATCTCACTTGGAAAAGTTTTTTTTTCCTTCTTAGTCAAATGAAGTAAATATTTAAAAAAATATGTTAGTCATGTTGTACTGTTATTGCCCATGTTTACAAATAAAAAAAAAAAAACAACGTCATGATGCTCAACACCAATTTAAGCTGACCAGGCACAGCATGGTGAGGGGTCTATAAAGTGACAGACGCAGGGCTGTAACCCCTGATAACTGTGACTTCTGACCTCTGTGAAATATAGGAAACTCACCAATTAAGCGCCGCTCAGGAGGAAGCTGGACAGCTGTCTGGTCAGCAAACCTGCACAAGATCATGTGCTCCTAGAAAAGAAAACACAAAGCACATATATCACTCACATTTGAGTACATACTTACTGAAACACAGAGAGGGCTGCGTTTTCAATGCTTGTACCATCAATACGACTCACAATTTGACACCAATACCAAAACAGTACATTTGTTTTCCACTAAAACCCAACATAATTTTTAATGGCCTCAAACAGAACTACATCTACACTCTCAGGAAAAAGTACTAAACGGTCACTGCACTGGTACCATCAAGGAAACGTCTTCAGTACCTTTAGTTATGGAACATAACCAATTTACACTGCAGATATATATATATATATATAATCACTGTTGTTAGAAGAAAACCTTGTATCTCCAAAAATAGTAACTTTACAGAAGATTGAAAAAAACATACTTTACTTTTAATGTAAGTCAATGGAACCAGACTGTTTTCCAAGTGTTTTTGGGACATTTCTTTTGGTCCATTCTTCATGAAATATACACACAATCTAAAGGGCAGAAGGTTTTTTAAAACTTATGACAAAAACTGAAAAATTACAAAAATGGATATAAAGATGCATTGTCTCCACACCCTTTGACTCTATGCTTTATATTCCATTATTCTTTTATAACTTCAGGTTATTAATATTATGATTTCATACATGTCGACTGTTGTCACTTCAGAAACAGCCAATACTGAGACATTTGGTAAAAAGTTTCGGTCATGTTATGATTGGACTGTTGGTGACAAAATGGAATGTTTAATCATTTAATAAAATAAAGATAATTAAGATACAGGGTCACTCAAAGCAAAAGGATTTTAGGCTAAAGTCCAAGTCAGTTAAAAGTTCAAAATGTGTTATAAACTCTGATTTTGAACCAATTCAGTACAATGATCCATTTACTAGTGCTGTGCAAGCCAATAAAATGGTTTAAAACAAGTTTGTTTGCCAGTAAAAACACTAGTAAAACATTAGAATACATAAGAATAAACAACTATAGTATAAAGTTACTAATATCTGGTAGGTGCTGGGCCCAACTTCTTGAGTGATTGTATAAATTTGCTAAATTCCATCAGCAGCACCCGATTTAATGTAATGAAATATTGATTAGCTGAAGCAGATACTGGATGGTACGTGTAAATACCGGACTTCCCAGTGGAGAGCTTTAGAATGGGTTAAACAAACACGCACACATCAAATCACAATGTACTGTTTATTTGTATTTCCTCTAATATTAGTGTTTTTGAACAAATAAATGTTTACTGGCCAGATAAAAGGCTTTACATTGTTTTTTTGTGTGCGTTCACAGAGAAACTGAAAAGAAATGTAATGCCTTTTCAATTTTAGAGGTACTTAAAACATTAATGTACGCACAGTCACTACAAAGCTCAGAGAGTAGCCTCCAAAATAAATAACTTAGTTAATTATAGAGAAATATGGACTTTTCTGAAGTCATAATCATAACAATACTTGCAAAGATAGCAAAGTAAGTAAGTGTCCAGAGTTTTCAGACTATTTCAAAGTTATAAAGCCAGGGTAGCATTAACTGAAGCTTATTGTGTTCTCAGCTGGATTTATTTTGCAAAAGCCAGGTAGATCACATCTACTCACGCGTCCTGCTTAAGTAAAGCGAAGGAGTGTCATTTCAAAGGGGTGCAGCTGAAAAATAATTGCAGCTTACTTTAGTGTGATTAATTCAATGTGGTACCATATGTTTCATTAGGCCTGATGTATTACCAGCCTTGCCAGCGACTGGATTGGCTTCAGCATGTTCATATCCTTCTCTCTCCTGCTGTGGGTGTCGCAAGAAGTTGATCAGATGGCAGATTAGAATGACAAGATGTTGAAGTAACAATTTTTGCACTTAGAGATAGACTATAGACAGTATATATGGGTTTAGATAGGTTAGCTAAGCATTGAATACGGTCATAATTCATACGATCTTGTTATAAGTATTGGCCTTAACATTTGACACATTTTGGTGCTCAGTAGTACCCTGTTAGAAATAAAGGTTCTGTGCGGGTACACGTTTTGTTCACCAAGAAACAAACAATGTAAATGTACCCTCAAAGGTACAACAGTGGTTTTAAGGTCCAACTGTGTACCTTAAATACATTTTTCTAGGTGAAAAATACATATTTGTCCCTTTTCATCATCTGATATTTTAAAAGAGACCAATAAAATAAAAAGCCTGGAGACGAGACGGGGTGTGTGGAGTCAATACAGCATAGAAATGATCATTTCAATGGATTATGGTACAACTATGTTCCCTGATTAAAGGTACTGAGATGTACCCTTGAGGGTACCACCCCAGTGACAACAGGGGCACTGCCCCAGTGACAGTTTAGTATATCTTTTTCTTGAGAGTTCATCAGTTTCTGAGGATTTCAGTACTCAGCTGTACAGACAGATACAAACATGTACACCCAGATACTGTATAATGTTCACTTTATGTAACACATTTAAATGTACACTATATGGCCAAAAGTATGTGAACACATGACCATCACACCCATGTTATCTTGCTGGGCAACCCATTCCAAAACCATGGGCATTACGATGAAGCTTAGCAGCTATTACAGTCTCCACTCATCTGGAAGGCTTTCTGCAAAATTATGGAGTGTGTCTGCAGGAATTTGTGTCCATTCGGTCAAAAGAGCATTTGTGAGGTCAGGCACTGATGTTGAACAAGAAGCCCTGGCTTGCAAATGGTGTTTGAATTTATCCTAAAGGTGTTCAGTGCAGCTGAGGTCAGGGCTCTGTGCAGGCCACCCCATCAAACCCATCAAACCATGTCTTTATGGACCTCACTTTGAGTACAGGTGCACAGTCATGCTGAAACAGGGCCTTCCCCAAACTGCTGCCACAAATTTGGAAGCAAATAATGGTCTAAAATGTCTTTATGTTGAGGCATTAATATTACCCTTCACTGGGTCTAAGGGGCCGATACCCTGAAAAACAGCCCCAGACCATTATCCCTTCTCCACCAAATGTTTCTATACCGTTAGCTGATCAGCTGATATTGACTGGACATAATCTTTGTATTTCATAGATAATACATAACTACTTCATATTGTTGAATACTGGCTTATCACCCAATTTTACTGACCTCTCGGTGTATCTGGCTACCAGTTACTTTAAAATTCTACAATTAAATCAAATACATACACTTGGAACAGATTTTTGTTTGTTTACAGCAGGGCTACACAATTCCAGTCACAACTTCACTGGAGGTGAATTTAATACTAATTTTTAGTGTTGTCTGACGTGTAACCGTTGCACACTCACATCGTAGGTGCCCATATTTTGAAACACTGGCATTGTAGATAGTACAAATTTTCTTTTTCAACCTTAAAACAGACCCATAATTCAGGCATTTAGACCACTGTGTTAGCTTCTGCAATCACACCTTATTATGTTATGGACCATGTCAGTTTATGGCATAAATAGAGCTCAAAAGAAAGAATCAGAGGATCGGAAGTGGAGCAAGCTTAATATAGCTGATACCTGATCACTTACAATAAGCCTGATCCACTAAAATATACATCTGATCCACTGGATCAGATCAGGACATCACTATGCCTCCTACATCTCCACTACCGAAATTGGGGCAGAAAGAAAGAAATGAGGGGGGAAAAAAAGGCCAAAACCAAGGAGATGATCAGCCATCGAAGGCTAATTAAAGACTTAATTGATTCCATCCTTCACTCCTGGAGGTCAAGCCTGAACGTGAGAGCCAATCACACACAGTCTGAACTGCAGGCACATATCAATACCACAGCCCATTAGCCTTCTATTACACCAATCCGCCATTCGTCACGACTGTGTCGACTGCTGTAACTAGCTGAGGCCAGAAAGCAGCACAGTGTGGGTTCTACAGATTGCTGCACTGCAGGCAAATTCGATCCTAATTTCACTTCGCAGCGAGTAAGGGCTTTTGGGGGAGATGTAATGAAAAAGCACTTAGTGGCCCTCTGATGTGTTCAGTAGTCACCGCAAACATTACAAACGTTCCTCTCAAGTCCTCACGAGTCGGAGAATTGATTTAGCCTATCAGCTTTGATGGGAATTCCATGAAAAAGGATGTAATTGTCCTGTCAGACAATTGATTTCGCTTATCAGGTTTAATCTTTCAGGCTAATCGTGTTCATAGCTACAATCGATGCAGCACCTTTTGTTTTCCTAACACAGCACACATTGCTCAATGTTCCTAGCTTTGCTTTGGGTGCAGATTTCCACAAAATCTATTCTCCACTGTGCAAAAGCCCAGCCTGAGGAAACATCACTTGGATCATAACAATCAATCAACAGTCTCTTGATGACAAAAAGTATGACAAATGACATTATTTGATAACAAACTGCCAAACAAAAAGTTATACAAAGAGTTATACAAATACAAAGAGTTATACAAATTATCCAGCTTGTCAGGATGCATTTGAGCACTTTATCTACTTTACCTAAATATACACATGAATAGACGTGGCAAATGTTCTTTGCTATGGCCAAGGAGTCCCATTATATCCGGCCTTAGCCATAAAAACGAAAGTTTGTTGAGATTCTTTTAGTATCTTACAAAAAGAATGACAAATAATTCTAGTCTTTTTATTCAGTTGTAATCTTAAAGGGCCCATATTCTGCATATTAATGACAATTGTGTGGCTTTATGTACCAAAAACAGTCAAAATTTATTTTACATGACCCTTTTCCAACCTCCCTTTCTCCCTTACAATTAAGCAGGCTGTTTTTGTTACTGTACCTTTAAGAATGATATATGTAAATAAGCTCTGTTCTGATTGGCTGCCCTGCATTCTGTCTTCTTCAAAAAGCAGCCCAGTCTGAAATATTTCTTATAACTTTAAAGTAAGTAGCCTGAGCTAATCTGCTATAGACTGAATATTCAGATATATGGGAATTAATGACATCACCAAAGCTATGCATTTAAAACAGGCTGTTTTGTAGCTTAGTTTCCATTAACAGTCTGTATGGACTGGGAACGAACCGCATGTTATGAAACCTATGATGTCTACATTAAACTCTTATTTTAAGAAAGCAAGGAAAAGTCAGTTTATTATGATATGAGCCCTTCAAGACATGCACTATATGTCCAAAGATTTGTGGACACCTTCTTATTAGTAATGCAGCTGCATTAAGGTGCACCCACTGCTGACAGAGGAGTTCAAATACACAGACAGCTTGTATAAACTCCATAGCAAGGCACTGACCAATAGAATGAGACACTCGGGAGCAACCTAAAGTCCTCATGCTTAATGCCAAACATGGGCTTGAGGGGTGTAAAGCCCCCTAGCATTGGGCTGTGGAGCATTGGAACTGACTTTGCTGGAGTGACAAAGCTCTATCAAATATCTTTGAGTTAGGGTGACATTTGTGATCCAGAAGTTGTCATCCAACATTAGTACCTGACTTCACTAATGCTCATGTGGCTGAATGCAATCAAATCTTCACAGCAATGTTCCAACATATAGTGTAAAACTTTCCCAGATGAGTAGAAGCTGTTACTGCAGCAAAAGGACAAAAAAAAATGATTTAATACTCTTGACTTTAAAAGAAACATTGGATAAAGTGTCCACAAACTTTTGGCCACATAGTGTATTCAGTAAGTACTATAAATTGTTTACTACTATGACACTAAAGCACTGCTCAGGCTGTAAGAAGAGGTTGTGTAGTGTAATCTGTTGGGATTTGATTGGTTGATTTGACTGGCTAGTTCAGGAAACTGTAAATGGATTTTGTAGAGTATTTTCAAATTATAATACATGTACTTCTATCCTATATTTGTGAGGAAAGTAATCTACAGTTTCTCAGTTATTTTTAGTCAGTAGTATTTAGTTTTTAACTCTTGTTAGTTTTTAAATGTTGTGTTTAATTTCATTTTGATTTGTGAACTGACTTTGGAGCTTTAGCATTATGTTTTAGACCAAAAGGACACAAAAAGGGAGGAACAACTTCAGTTTTGTTACAGTTCTAAGTTAATCAGTACTTAAATTATTTTTGGGCCTGCTAATTTTGTGATTTTAGGAAAGACAATTTTACTTCTACAAGTCATTTTTTTACTGAATCAGTCAATGATACTAACAACACCCCACATGGCTGTGTCTATTAGCAAAGTTTGTTATTCCATTAGTGTGAGGTGGATTGGAACAGGACTACTAATATGGAAGAATTTGTAGGTTCAGCCTATAGAAGGCTATTGACCACTTTTTCCAAAAATTGGAAGAACATACACTGCATATCCATATTGGATTAAAAGCATTGATCTTTTCATCAACTATTTACAGTCCTGTGAAAAATAATTTGCCACCTCCTGATCACTCCTAATCAAGAGGAACATACAACTTGATGTCCCCTAAGCATTTTGGAATAATGTTCCGTGGACTGATAAACTTTTTGGAAGATGGGGTCCCGTTACATTTACATCTGGTGTAAAGCTAAGGGCATCCCACAATAAGAACATCATACCAACAGTGAAACATGGTGGTGGTAGTGTGATGGCGTGGGGATGCTTTGCTGGGTATGGGTAACTTGCCATAATTGACAGAAAATCAGAAAATCCTGTCCAGTCATCAGTCCATGATCTGGAGCTCAAGCACAATTGGATTAAGCAGCAAGACAACAATCAGAAACACAAAAACAAGTCCTCCTCTAAATGACTCAAAAGAAACAACATTTGGAACGGCATCGTTAAAGACCTGACTTGAACCATGTTGAGATGCTGTGACAGGACCTTAAATGGGAAGTTCATGCTAAAAGCCCTCCAGTGTGGCTGAATTAAACAAATTCGGTACAGGAGTTGACCAAAATTCCTCCACATGGAAGCGAAAGACTGCACTCCAGTTATAGGAAGCACTTGGTCACAGTTGTTGCTGCTAAAGGTGGCATAAGTTATGTAGTTTAAACTTTTTTAAATGTAAATGAAAATGAAATGTAAATGAAATAAACTGTGTTTTCTGTTTCCTCATGTTCTCCTTGTCTTTTATCACATTTTGATCCGAATTTATTTAGCTTGACAAACATGTAACAACAGAGAAAATCAGGAGGGGCAAAATACTTTTTCATAACACTATAAATTACAGTAGGCCCCAGGTGAAACAAATCCAGCTCTAATACGGCTTAATACTGTATGTAATATATATTAGGGCTTAATATGTAAACACTGCAAGAGTGAGGAACTGAAGTGTGCTTATGCTGTTTAAGGGGTAATGGACAGAATCAAGGGGTCTCATCAGGTCCCACTGAAGCTGTGGGGACACTGAGGGTCCACTCTGTGTCTGGCTGATTAAAGCTCATCCATCACTCACATGTCCTCCTCCTCACTGACCCTTGCTTGCTGTGGCTGGTCAGATAAGACTGGGAGAAGTGGAACCTCTCAAAGTGCAGCACATACAGTTCATGGGAACACTACGATTCTCAGGAATACATGGGAGCTATTTCCATGTTTACCTACTGAAAAACATAAAGCCATACATAAACTAATAAACTGCCGAGAGAAAGTTGTAGAGAGTTTATTGAAGCTGTAATGACTTCACAATCCATACCATGAGGATAATAATCTCTTGAGACAGTTGGTTTATCCAGCACAGAGCTGGCATCGTGTGTGGGGATTCATATTTATTCTTAGACCTACATGGTCCTTGGAAATAAAACAAGCTGCTGCAGTGTAGAGCAAAACCCAGTCCCTCAAAAGCAGCCCTGAGTACAGGCAGGACAAATCAGAGAGACAGAGACAGAGGTGCAACATCTCACATGTTTGGGTGATAATGAAGAGGAGCGAGAGCAATCTCAACCGCTCACACACTCACCTTATACGTCAACGTCTCTGCAAATTTCTTACTGTGGAGAGAGAGTGAAGAGGAAGAGGATTAATGACTGTAGGAGGTAAGAGACATACTGAGGTGTAAATTAAAAAAATATATATCATGATGTGCAATTATCGGCTCTCGAAGTGGAAGAAGTCTTGGAACAAATAACAGAAGAGAACTTGATGAGTTCTCATGAAATGAAATGAGCTGATCTAATAATGAATTTCAGATACTGAATGAACCTAAATTGCAGAGAACAAGTAGGAGACTGGATGAAGCTGTGGAAAATAACATTAAGTTTATCTTTTAACAAGATCTCTGAGATGCTGTCCCATATTTATTAAGGTCAAAGTGAATGGGATGAGATTGGAAGGCTTTTGTGAGTGATGTTAAAGTTGCACTATGTAAGCATGTATGTAAATACTATGTATTTATATTAAAAAGAATGAAGTAGCATTACTGAGTCAGTCAAGCTAAAATGTGTGTATCCGCTGCTTCAAGTCACTAAAAGTTATTTAAATTTTGCAGGAATTTTTCAGATCACACACATAGGCTCAAAACGAAAGGGCTGTTTGATGTTTAGGTCTCAAATGCAAAATCAACATTATGCTGATGAAGATATGATGACAATCGTAGATTAGAAGAGAAGACATTCTGTTAGAAGAGTTCAAGTGTTGACTCATTTCTTTTTGAATACTCTTTCAAAGTGCTCACAATCAGGGGTTTAAAGCATAACCAATGTTACTAAGGCTATGTTCGCACAGCAGGTAAAAGTGGCCCAAATCTGATCTTTTCCTTCATCGGTGTGTCAGTGTGAACAGCAAAAAAACAGTTTGAATCTGACATTTTCAATTCCGATTTGGGACACTTTCATATGTGGTACTGAAATCCGATCCGTATCCGATATGCGGCAACGTGAGCGAGTTCATGCAACTTTTACGTCAATCGAACTCCACATTCATCATCATTTTGTACTGCTGAGACCTCAAACATTTGAGGTGATGTTTTTGTACAAAAAATTAGAAGAGACTCATCCAAAACTCTCCGTGTTCGAAGAGATTTAATAAAAATAATGGCCGAACGTAGCCACAGAACAGTGAGGCTGCAGCGTCAGGGGAAAGTCTGAAAACGAAGTTTAAAGAATCCGAGGACGTGAACCAAAGAAGTGACCGTGGCCGAATAATGTGCCCTTTTTACGGCGAGCTGGAACACATTCTGGGTGATGAGCCCAGCTGTCAGTCAATGATGCTTCCCAATGGCTCCTGTGATGCTTGCGAAGATGAAACTGAAACCTCTGGGAGCGACTGGCGTTCACTGGCAGTTATGATTGTTTACCTCTGGATGAGCCGCCACGTCATTGTTGCGTCATTGTTCTTCTGCGCATGCGGGTCAGGTTAGGAGCGCAAACTGTTCAGACTAATGTCGCAAACAGGTCATATTTCAAAGATATGGTGAACAAACAAAACAAACAAACCAAACAAAAAAATCAGATTTGGTGAGAAAATCAGATCTGGGCCACTTTTACCTTCTGTGTGAACGCAGACAAACTGTTTTTTTGTATGCTGCATGCAATTACACATTTCCACCAGAGAGGTCTCCAAATCCCCAAATATTACATAGTGCAGCTTTACAGATGATGGTGGGACTTTTCTGCTGGGCCTAAGGCTTGGCTACTCAGACCAAGAGAGTGCAGACTGTGTCATTTGGTTCTCCACATTAAATGAATATCATTCAAAAATGCTACAACCAGTGGAGTTAGCATGACTAACTCCTTATACTCTTAAGTGTACAAATTGTTTGTCCACACTTCAAGTCCTACAGATCAATATTAATAATTAATGATTCATAGTACACTCTTAACACTGTTCCTAAATGGTTCTCGGCTTGGATGCATGATTCTAGGAACTAACCTTTATATTATGTTGAGGTTCTTTAAAAAAGGTCCTTCACACTTACATATCTCCTTCTTGAAAGAACCATCCACAGAAATGTTCTTTGAGAACCAAAAGTGGTTCACCTGTGGCATCGCTCTAAAGAACCCTTTTTGGCATCTTTATTTTTAAGCATGTAGTTACTAAATAATAAACAGCATAAAACTGAATAACAAGCTGGCAGATTAAAGGGCTTAAATCCCTTAATACCTTATCCAATATTAGCAGTGTTAGCATTTTTGAGTGAAGCCCTCCATTATCAGGCAACTGCAGTAAAGGCACAACCAAATGCCTCCAGCATGTGTGAAGGAGATATCCTGTATCTCTCACTCAACACTTCAGGAGTGCTCAACATGTTGCTGTTTTCAGCAGCGCACTGGACCGTGAAAAAGAAAACATCCTAAACCACCCAGATAGCTCATCAGGCTTACTGTAAAGTAATGTTGTGGCATTGTACATGTCAGTCGTCATGTTAACCCCTGCTGCCAACCAAACAGTCAACAGGGCGTCGGCATGGCAACAGTCTGAAGACGATGGGAAAACAACTCAGCTAGCTCTTCTTTCCACCCTGACGTTTATGCCTCCGGGCCAAACTCCCTTCTCGGATCAAATTACGGGCTTACAAGGCTTATATACTGACTTCACTTACAGATTTTTGAAAGACAGGCATCAATGGAGGGGAAACAAATGACTACAAGTTTTGTTTTCTGGGTAATACGTCATTTGGATAGTCCACTGTACATGTTTTTAGATACTTATCTTGCTTGGCCAGCTAGTTATCTCAACTTGTCCCTAATGTCTATAAAGCATGTGTAGTTTGTTAAGACAAAATGGAAACCTTTCATTTATTTAATTTCCAGTCAATTTTCAGTGTCAGACAAAAAGGACACCTCCTTGTTTCTACACTCACTGTCCATGTTATCAGCTTCACTTACTATACAGGTGCACTTTTTAGTTCTACAATTACAGACTGTAGTCCATCTGTTTCCCTGCATACTTTTTACCCTGTTCTTCAATGGTCAGGACCCCCACAAAGAAGGTATTATTTGGGTGGTGGCTCATCCTGCACTGCAGTGACACTGACAAGGTGGTGTGTGTTAGTTTGTGTTGTGCTGGTACAAGTGGATCAGACACAACAGTGCCAACACAAACTGTGCAGCAACAGATGAGCTACTGTCCCTGACTTTACATCTACAAGGTGGACCAATAAGGTAGGAGTGTCTAATAGAGTGGACAGTGAGTGGATAGTAGAGTGTTAAATCATACATGTTGCTAAATTCGAAATGCTATTCATGACAGTACACTCCATTCTCATTGGGACACTGTAATACCATTTACATAAAAAGTGGATATTTAAATAGCAAAAATTGCTAAAATGTGCATCCCTGCCAGATGGGTGGTTAACACTGAGCATCTGTAGCTAATCTAGAGAGCACTATCCAAATAAAATGGGAGCTCTCTCCTATTTATTTTAATGCAAGTTTACTCTGGCTCTGTTTACTCTAGGGCACACTGTTGCTGGTACTTTCACTGCACTGTGGGAGTGTTTCCGCAGTGCTGAGTGGCAGGGAGAAGAGAGGGAATAAGAGGCAGAGAGGAAAGAGAGAGGGAGAGGGAGGACATCATCTAATAAAACTTAATAACATGCAAGCACACGGGCAGACAGACACTTATGTATAAGTGGGGATGAGAGACAGCCACACAGACAGACCTCCTGGGGAAGCTGAACTTGAGTGTGTTCTGGATAAAGCCGTAGCAGCATGGACTGATCACAAATCCCGCCCTGGCCTGCACGCAGCGATCCAGCACCATGTCCGTCGCCACGCCACACGCATGCAGCGCCACCTGCAGCAAACAACACACAAAATACATCCCATTTACTCTCTACATGCAATTCAATTAGGGCCCGTTTGTGTTTTATTAATACTGGTGCAAACATTGCAACAAAATTAGCAACTGTATTGGCACGTTATATTTTATGTTTTATTTGCTTACAATTCATTGTAAGTATTCGATTACGTCATTAAGAACATCATATTGCCATTCTGATAGGCCAGCTGTAACTCTTACTGTGCTCTGATAGAGCTTGTCTCATCACCGCTACTGCAGTGGATACTGTAAGTGGATAAAAACCAAGCAAAATAGACCAGAATGACCACTAAAAAGATTTAAAGACATGTAGACACTTTAGATACAGTCTCCAGCAAATGCTGTGAGAAGAAGATTAGTTAGATTGGTGGACTGAACCCATATAGCCTACATTTCTCCAGAGTTCAGAACATTCCAGTGCGTGATATTTTATAAAATCTGATAAAATTGGCTACCAAAGCTTTTAAATAATAAATTCATACATAAATATTAAGCTCAAGTCAGCTTCTTATTCAGCAGCCGCTCATTTCAATTGTCCATTCCACCTTAAATGGTGCTGCAGTTAAACTGTGGTGCCTTAAACGTAGAACGAATTTTAAAAGTTGATGAACAAGAAGCTCAATATAGCTCAATAAATACATACATTTACCTTAATAAATGATCCTTAATCAACAAATACCTCAAACTTTCGCTTGGAGGTATTTAACTGTTACTGAACAGCTAACGAGCAGCACAGTGAAGCTAATCAGCCACTGGAGCCGTTGAACGTTTATCATTGGCAGATCTAACGCCGCGTCCCAAACCACACACTGCTGTACTTCACCTACTACACTACTGAGTGCACTTCTAATGGAATATGTGCTATTTTTTGCATACTATTTAGAGTGCTAGTATGCGGTTTGGAATATGAAAATAATAACGGGGTGGGAAATATCAGATGTTCACTACAACCACAAATCAAATTAAATCAAGTCAGTACACTCAAATACACTGGTTAATGTGCTTCAAATTTTTAAAAGAGGTTTAAAAACATGTTTTACTGCCTTTGCTGTATCGGTTATGGCTTTATTACACCACTGAAAGAAATGATGAAATGAAGTTGCTGTCCAAAATGGTGGCAGCGCCAGAGCCGGTTTATGAGAAGCCTGGCCACTTCTTATTTCCCTCTTTATATCAAAAAAAGGACTGCAAATCAGCAGGAGTAAATGGAGCTAAAGAACAAAAGATGTTCAAATAGTTTCTAATCACTCGCCCAGAACTTTCCTTTAATTTTAGAAAGTAGAAGGACGTATTTCACTAAAAAACGTACTGCTACTGAGTGCTGATTCGTGGGCAACCGGAGTATCTCATTGGTTGTTCGAGCTTGCTGAAGTCATTTATATCTTATTCACCCACTAGGAAAAAAACAGTTTGTGTAGCGTATGCCTATGTGTGTAGCTCTCTCTCTCGCTCTCTCTCTCTCACACATTGCTGGCTGATTCACTCAAACCATAATTCCAAACACTTGAGTGTTTCTCTCTTGGAGTAGACGCTTGCTGAGTGTGATCATTGATCTGTTAGCAGTTTGATCACGGACCGTCCGCTCTCTGAGGCTGACAGGTATCAGTGCATGACCGGAGGCCTCTCTCTGCACATTAGACACAAACTGGTTAAAACCGCTTAAAGGACGGTAAAGAAAACCCTACAGGATGAAAGTATACAACAGAGTGAAAAAATGTCCCTCCTAGACATCTGTGCGACACGCTAGACAATGCCTGTGATTACACACAGTACAAGTGACCAAGACATATTCTACTGGACAGTGTGGTATGGCATGGGCACAGTTGGCCAGAACACTAAACACTCGATCCTAAATGTATTCAGTAATATATCCTACTACACTATATAAACAAGCAATGTTTTCAAAACATTTACAATACATCTTGATGAGGCATATGGGTGATGCTTATTTTTCATATTGTTTCTCGCTGCTACTTGTTAGCAGTTTTCTTTGAAATACGTTTCCTGAAAAATTCATTCATCATTTCAATGATGTTCTGAAACACTTTACATTGTTTTTATTGTCTGTTTAGTCCAAGCAAATAATCGCTACATCCAAATAACAAATTCTTTTAAAATCTTGTAAATTTGACTACAAATTAAGTAGCTATTTTCAGTTATTAACATGTATGTAAGATCATGCTACAAAACGCACAAGTCCAGTACAACATTGATGCTAAGTGAATATGTTCACAACTGAGGAAACTGTTCAGTTCGATCATCCCTCAAAAGAGCTCAGTAACAGTGAGATAAATATCCGCCTCAGGCTTTAGCAGGACCCTCGCGTTCCTCTTTAGAGCCTGTCTAATGAGTCTGTCTGCTACACACTGTGTGGTGATTTTAAAACAGTTAACCAACAATTGATGGTGTTTTTTTAAAGGCTGTGTGCTTTTCATCGTAGTTGGTAAGCATTCTAAATGGATTTTTCCTACAAATGTAACTGTTTTCTGAATGCTGCCTTTTCAAAATGTAACATGGGATGAATACAGATACTTCATTTCAATATCAGAATCTTTATTCATAACAACCTCTGTACATATACTGAAGTACATGCAAACCCTGAGTAGACTGGTAAATCAATGTGATGATCAGTTATTAATCTCAGTGTTACTGAGCTCTGCTAAAGCCTGAGTAGACTGAAAAATCAATGTGATGATCAGTTATTACTGTCAGTGTTACTGAGCTCTATTAAAGACATGATGAAACTAATAATCTTCTTAGTAGTGGACATGTTTGCAGGTGATCAGTTTAGCATCAGTGCTGTACCGGACAGCGGTGGACTAAAGCAGGCGCTGTGAGCGAAAAAAAAAAAAGTTATGATTTTTTTTTAATGATAAGGAATTTTTCATGAAACATATTAACAAAATAATTACAGGAAGAAAACTGCCAACCAGTAACAGTGACAAACAGTATGAATATGTTGCTTTTTCAGAATACGATACTTTTATGTACTGTACTAGTATATATTTATAAATAACTTTGGAACAGTGTATTCAGAATTTAGGCCCTCACTACTTTTTTAAAGACTACATAAAATAAACAATAGACACTATTCTGAGTAAAATAAATGATGTTCACTAGGAGATAAGTCCAGTTTCAATCAAGCACTGAAATACATATATACAGTATGTACAGCTAAAAGAATTAAGCAGCTAATAAAAATGTAAGCATAGTTATGTGAAGTGCAATAAGTTAAAGTGCAAAGGGGCACTGACTATAGGAGAGGAAAGTGGGAGAGGTTCTTATTCAGAAGGATTATGCTATGGGATACACTCACAGCTGTTTCTGCCCTTTTACAAATGTCTTTTAAAACCTGCACTGCATGTTAAAGACTGTGAGTCTGGAAAGATACACTAGTTGAGTACTTCAAATTCTCAAAAACGAATGGCACATTTCTTGGCTGCATACTAAGTACTGAAACCTTTTGTACTGACTGATGCCGATCCAATATATATATATATATATATATATATATATATATATATATATATATATATATATATGTATATATATATATATATATATAAGAATAGCTAAGCTTTATTATTAAAAAGTACTAAAGCCATCATGTTCAAACAACTCAAACACTCTTCTACCCCACAGGAAGAAAAACACAGCTAACAGCATCACATCACACAATGTGAACGCGTGCTATTAAGCGATAGATTTGTTAATGGTTTAGATCAGATTCATTCTTTTTTATCCCCCTCAGATATCCGATCTAGAATTTTCTACTGATATCAGCATGATATTGATACCCATCGATACCAATATACCATCTCTAAATACTGCACCACATTATCCATACCACACCAAGTGCTATTAACTACACATAGTGCAATTAATTTAGCTACACATCCTTTCAGACCCATAGAGGAAGGATGGACAGAAACACCTGTGGATTGTTTTCGATCTGAAGCTTGATTTTCTCCTCTTTCTCAAAGATGAAAGCTTTAAGTACTGTTAATCTGATGGGGACAGTTTTGGCGTCTACCAGGTCTTACACAGTTGTTGGAAGTCCCACCTTCTCTGTATCTTTTCATTCTTTTTTGAGCTCCAGTTTGGGAAACTCCTGTATATTTCTTTTGACTTTCTCCTTCCATATGCAAGTGGATTTTCTGTTCTCCTCAGAAATATCACCGGAAATTTAATAACTTGTACTTAATGGCTGTTTTGACTGAAAATTAAACTAAAAGGTGGTCTCTGGCTTTTGCACAGTACTGTACTTATTCCACATATTCCACATATTCCATGTATAATGAACTCAAACTCTGAGCACAAATGTGAAGGAAATCTTCAAAATGTGAGTTCATTAATTTATCATGTTAAATCTGGTCTTTTGGTCACATGGGACAACCGAATTTTTAACAAAACAACAGAAAATCCCAATTTAACTCTCATAAAAAAGTAAAAAAAATGTGTGGCTAAAAAACAACATGTTCATCTAAGGTATAACTTCAAAAAACTACATCACTTTAACACAAGCAGATCAAATTTTGTTTTTTTTTCTCATAATAAAATTCAAGTGTTGGATATTAAATGGTTTAAAGAAGACAGTGCAGAACATCACATAGTTACAAATAAAATACAGCAAGTACAGAGCAGTTCAAAAGTGACTGGAGTTATATCTCCAGGAGGCGTTTACCTTCAACTCCTCTAACTATGACTAAGCTCAGTTCAGGAACTGAGGAACGGTGGGGGCTCTGAATGTGTACGTATGTAGGTGTGTGTGGTGTGTGTGTGTGTGTGTGTGTGTGTGTGGTGCTCTGTAGCGCCAGCCATCAAAGTCATGGATTAACACCCCTCAAATCCCCACAAGAACATTTCTTAGGAATGTGTCCAACTCGGTGGATAATCACTCACTGTACTTGTTTCGCGCCGTTGCTATAGGAGAAGGCTTACACCACTGTGCAATGTGTGGGACCACACTGGCTACA